TGGAACATCGTTCTCCTCATGCCCTTAAAGTATAGGGCATGCCAGCACTAATCATCCTAAATCCATGTCCCAAATCTCTGGTTCACTATACTTCTGTTAGTCTTACGGCGTCGGGATTTTCGAGTTTAGGGGTTGGACTTCGCAGATATCTGTTCGGGAACGCCATGCCATGCTACCCAGTGGGGAAAGACTGAGACATCGATCCCCCCAAGCTGCATTACATGACCCGACATCCTTCTGCCGGCAGAGCCGTCCGTTCCCTGAAATCGTTGGCGCAAACATATGGGGGTTTCCGAAAATAGGGGACCCTAATATAGTACCTTAAATAGTAGGATCCTTATTATAAGAACCCCAAAATAAGGTACCCCTTATTTTCGGAAACTCCCAGATTATATGTTTTTGAGGTTGAAGTCGAACTCCCCATCTTCCCCCTTGGGGGCATGAAGACCTAAGCCTGAAGGCCAGGGTGTAGGACGTTGGGCCCTAAGGTCTCTGAGCACAGTGCCAGGCATGCCGCCCCATCGCAACCTCCCAAAGGCTGGGGAGCTCTGCCGCCTAGAAACCAAAAGCTCCATCCCAAAAGAACCATCCGCATGAGATGGGACCTGATGCTTGGCTCGATGATACTGTTGTTAACGACGCAATGGCCACCAGGATCGTAATGGTGATGATTCAGTGATGATGAGGAGGAGGAGGAGGCGGAGGAGGAGGAGGAGGATGAGGAGGAGGATGAAGAGGAGGAGGAAGGCACCGGTGATCTGCAGCAAAGTGGCTAGACATGATGAAATCGAAGATCACCCACGTCCTCAACACAGTCATCATGAGCAGCAGGAGCTGTAGCATGTTCATCAGCATTGCTATCGCCTGAGCGACATCATCAACAGCATCGTCATCACCATGCCTGTTGATGGTGGTGCTGGGTACGATGCTGATAATGATGCCGACGCTTGTCCCGCCACAACTAGCTGGACCACCGCGACTGCTGCCACCCCAAAACTACTACAATTACTACAACTACCACTACCATCAGCAGCAGCACTACGAGTGGTGCTTCCTCCTCTGCCACGCCTCGCAGTGGCGTTGCGGCTGTTGGATGTGGTCGTGTAGTTACTTTTGGCGGTATGTGCTATTCTTCTTGTCCTCCTTCATGCGCTGGCCATCGCGAGTCTTGTGGAGAGCATGTGTGTATAATCTCCTATTTAGTCCCTCCCTGAACTCTTCAAAGCTATGAAGGTACACTGCAAACACTAAATCGTAAAGATTCAATTTCCAAAAGTTCGAAAATCGACCGGAATCCATCACACTGCGCGGGCGACTAAACCTCAAACCCTAAACTCTAAAACCCTAAAGCCTGAACCCAAATGGCGAAACCCCAAACCCTAAAACCCTAAAAGCCTAAGACCCCAAACCCGAAAACCCTAAACCCCAGGCGGCCTGTCCCCTGACGGGACTCCCACTTCAGGTCACTCCGTTGGACCCTTTCTTGAGCCTCTACGAACGGTTTACGGTTTAGGGTTTAGGGTTTAGGGTCTACGAGGAATAGAAGAGTTTCCCACAGTTTTCCTGAGGGTTTACTTAGGATTTAGGGTTTAGGGTTCCTTCTTATGCTTATCATATAATATACCCCCCCCCCCCCCAAAAAAAAA